CAGGCTGGAGTGCGGTAGCGCGATTTTGGCTCACTGCAGCCTCCGCCTTCTGGGTTCAAGCGGTTCTCCTGCCTCAGTTTCCCGAGTAGCTGGGATTACAGGTGTGCACCACCAGGACTAGCTGAGTTTTTTTGTATTTTTAGTAGAGACGGAGGTTTCACCATGTTGGCCAGGCTGGTCTTGAAATCCTGACCTCAAGTGATCCATCCGCCTTGGCCTCCCAAAGTGCTGGGATTATAGGTGTGAGCCACTTTGCCTGGCCACGTTCTCATCACTTTAAATGCCTTTTTGCCCTTTATCCTACCTCCTCCTTCCAATAATTACCTAACTATTTGTTTATTCTCTCTTAATAAAGCTTTTAAAGTACTAAGACCCTGGAGGGTTGGGGGATGTGCTAAATAAATCACAATGGCATTGGTTTTGTTAGTGAAAGGAAGCTGGTTTTTAAACCAGATACCTGCAATTGGTGCTAGTGAAGGGAAGCAGCAGCCCTTTAAAGGTATTCTACCTCATCTTTTCTGTCCCTAAGCCAGGACCTAGTTTGATTTATAGAATATAAGTTTATCAGTGTATATCACATTATAATAGTTTGCTATCTGAAAGGTAGGCAAGGAAATCACTTTTTTTTTAACAGGATTTTATTTGACTAATATCTTTTATTCATTTATTATTTTTTTTGAGATGGAGTCTTGCTCTGTCTCCCAGGCTGCAGTGCAGTGACGTGATCTAGGCTCACTGCAACCTCTGCATCCCAGGTTCAAGCAATTCTCCTGCCTCAGCCTTCCAAGTAACTGGGACTACAGGCACGTGCCACCACGCCCGGCTAATTTTTGTATTTTTGGTAGAGATGGGGTTTCACCATGTTGGTCAGGCTGGTCTCGAACTCCTGATCTCGTGATCTGCCTGCCTCAGCCTCCCGGAATGCTGGGATTACAGGTGTAAGCCACCATGCTTGGCCCCTAATTTTTGTATTTTTAGTAGAGACGGGTTTTTACCATTTTGGCCAGGCTGGTCTCGAACTCCTGACCTCAGGTGATCCACCCACCTCTGCCTCCCAAAGTGCTAGGATTACAGGCGTGAACCACCACGCCCGGCCTCAAATCTTTAGCACAGTACTTTTTTTTGTAGTTTTTCTCCCTCAACTCCTTGTTACCAATCTACAATAGAACTGGTTATTTAAGAAAATTTAGTTGTTGTTATTATTATTGAAATGGAGTCTTGCCCTGTCGCCCAGGCTGGAGTGCAGTGGTGTGATCTCAGTTCACTGCAACTTCTGCCTCCCAGGTTAAAGCAGTTCTCCTGCTTCAGCCTCCTGAGTAGCTGGGATTACATGGGCACGCCACCATGCCCAGCTAATTTTTTGTATTTTTAATAGAGACGGGATTTCACCATGCTGGCCAGGCTGGTCTCAAACTCCTGACCTCGTGGTCTGCCTGCCTTGGACTCCCAAATTGCTGGGATTACAGGCGTGAGCTACCGCACCCGGCCATATGTAGTTATTAATGTGGATAGATTTTATCATTTTTGTGTATCATCTATGCTTATTAGTGTTAAACAAAAGACTTAATTGTGTGCTTGTTAACTTGACTGTAAATCTTTCCAGTGATTCTTAGTGCCAAAGTTTCAGCTTTGTTTCCAGTTAATCAGGATACTAGCCAAAGTTAGAATCTTTCAATAACATTTGAGTCCCTATTTTCAAAGAAAACAGACAAAAATTCTTTAAAATTAGAAAGAACTTTTGTTCTAATCTTTTAAAATATAAGCATTTTATAAGTGCCATAGAATGTAAGTGTTGTAATCAGCACTTAGTTTTGTTGGTAAGCTGTGGTGGCTCCCAGGACTTTTTTGGTGGTGCTGGTGCGGGGGATGACATCTGTCTGGTACATTTTTGTAACTTTGTTCAGATCTCAGACATATGCTTGTATCATGTATGAGTAATCTGTTAAAAACATTTGCATGACTAGCCTTGTTATTTTGGGGCAAATAATTTTCAATTTTCATATTAAATATAAGTTGGAACTGGGTGTGATAGTTCGTGTCTATAATCCCAGCAATTTGAGAGGCTGAGGCGGGAAGAATGCTTGAGCCCAGGAGTTGGAGACCAGCCTGGGCGACATAATGAGACCCTGTCTTAGCTACTCAGGAGGCCGAGGTGGGAGGATTACTTGGGCCCCAGAGGGCAAGGATGTAGTGAGCCATGATAGCACCACTGTACTCCAGCCTGGGCAAATGTCTCTTAAAAAAATTATATATATATATATGTATGTATGTTGGGGTAGGGGTTGTCTTTATTTTTATTTTTATTTTTTTGAGACGGAGTTTCGCTCTTGTTGCCCAGGCTGGAGTGCACTGGCGCATTCTTGGCTCACTGCAACTTCTGCCTCCCAGGTTCAAGCAATTCTTCTGCCTCAGCCGCCCAAGAAGCTGGGATTACAGGCATGCGCCACCATGTCTGGCTAATTTTTTGTATTTTTAGTAGAGATGGGGTTTCACCATGTTGGCCAGCCTGGTCTCGAACTCCTGACTTCCACCTGCCTCAGCCTCCCAAAGGCTGAGATTAGAGGTGTGAGCCACCAGGCCCGGCCAAAGGCATGTCTTTATTATTAATCCTTCATTCATTGAACAAATTTCATCAGCCATATATTATACTGAGTTTGGGTGATATAGATATGAAACATTTCTCCCCTGTTAAGGGACACTCAAATTCTTGCTCAAACTCTCTGCAGGAAGGTTACGAAAACGAACTATTAACAGTACATAGAGGTAAGTCCTAAGGTGATAGTATTAACTGGGTATTCTGAGGTTGACAAAGGAGTTGTTCTTGAGGCTCACTGCACCCTCTGCCTCCTAGGTTCAAGCAATTCTCCTGCCTCAGCCTCCCAAGTAGCTGGGACTACAGGCGTGTGCCACTATGCCTGGCGCATTTTTGTATTTTTAGTAGAGATGGGGTTTCACCATGTTGGCCAGGCTAGTCTCAAACTCCTGACCTCAGGTGATCCACCTGCCTCGGCCTTCCAAAGTGGTGAGATTCGGCTTGGGCCACTGCACCTGGCCTCTTGAGTTTATTCTTAGAGGGCTAAATAATAATTACTCAAGTAAATAAGGGTAGGGATGTGATAGGCATTGCCAGCCATGAAAATAGCACATCTAAAAGTATGACCACACTTGGAAAATTTCCTAGGGTGTTAATAAATACGGTGATTTCCAAGAGTGTTAAGTTACTAAATTGAACACAGTTGTGAATTTAATTTGCTAGCTAAGTGAGCGATAGTTCAAATGTTTTAGTTCTGGCCAGAAGTTAGATGGGAAAGAGATGGGAAAGACACCCGTTCCCACAAGGGTTGGGAGTAGGGGCATTCTTCCTGATGGAGAGTTTCAGGTGTATCTGCAGAATACCTATCCCAGGAAATGGGAATGACGACAACATTACAAATATTTTCTGACCTTGATAATTCTTGAGATCTACACAGTTCTTCTAAGGAAAGAAGTCATCTTCGTGGAAGAGGTGTAATTGTCTTATTCTGTGTCTGTGAGCACCCAAGAAAATAGTGTGAGGCTGAGAGGTAAACCTTCCTTTACCAGCTGCCAATATTGAAAAACAAAATTTATTTTATCAATTGTATTTCATTGTCCACGATGGTTCTGCCAGTAAATTAGCCTCCCAGAGCTGCTCCAGAAAAGAAAACATGACCCCGTTTGGAGTATATAGCTATCGAGTCATATACAACAGGCATTTTCCTTTTATCTGACCCTGTGAATAGATGGTCATGTTCTGGTCTTTCCATGTTGTTCAGTTATGACGGGCAAAGAACCTTTAGGAGATTAAAGCAGCTCCATTGTGTATGGCTTGTGTTCCTGATAATCTTATTCAGAATCCCATGATTTTGTCTGGTTTTCCCTTTTTCATGTAAGTGTTGTGCTGCTTAAGTATTTCCATGTTGTTCTAGAATGTAGTGTTTTTTAAGCTAGGGTAATTCTTTTTTTTTTTTTTTTGAGATGGAGTCTCACTCCGTTGCTCAGGCTGGAATGCAGTGGTGCAATCTCAGCTCACTGCAACCTCCATCTCCTGGGTTCAAGCGATTCTCCTGCCTTAGCCTCCTGAGTAGCTGGGTTTACAGGCACACGCCACCATGCCCGGCCAGTTTTTGTATTTTTAGTAGAGACGGGGTTTCGCCATGTTGATCAGGCTGGGAGTAATTCTTTGTATTAATTAAAAATGATTTTTTTCTAAAGTAGTGAATCCTAATCAAGGAGATTCTTTTCTGGGGAGTCTCATCCGTTCAGCAGTGTTTATTAAATGTTGATGTGTGCCAGACAGTGCTGAAGGTTTTGAAAATACATCATTGAATAAGATAGACTTAAATACTTGCCCACAAGGAGCCTATATTTCTTTGGGAAAGAGAAACAATAAATATAATTAAAAAGTCAATTTATAATGTTAGAAGGCAATAAGTGTTATGGGGAAAAGATGGTAATATGGGAGTACTGTAGTGAGGGTGGGGTAGTACTTTTAAGTAGGGTGGGTCAGCGTAAGCCTCACTGAGAGGGTAACATTTGAGCAGAAACTTGAAGGAGTGAGTCATGTGACAGAAGAGTGTTCCAGTTAGAAGGAATAGTCAGTACAGAATTTTTGAGGTGGATGGAGCCTGTCATCTTTAAGAGCAGCGGTCACCATAACTTAGTACAGTGAGCCAGAGAATGACTGAAAGGAAGTGAGGGCAGAGAGACTGTGGGCGATGGGGAAGGCCTCTTAGGCCGCTGTGAGTACTTTGGCTTTTACACTAAGTGCCATTGAAAATAAACTCCTAATAATACTGAATGAGTAGAATTTCCTTCTCAGAGATTTAGGGTCAAGGAAAAGGTAAGCAGTCAGAGAAGGAACTCTGTAACTTCTAGACTTAGGATAGCAAAAATTAATGCATATCCGTTAGACATAAGATTATGGCAAAACAAATAATGAAGTTCTTTGCTGATATTTTCTACTTTATTTTTGATTATAGGGACTTTCAGTTACCTTGATGATGTCCCATTTAAGATAGGAGACAAATTCAAAACACCAGCTAAAGTTGGTCTACCTATTGGCTTCTCCTTGCCTGATTGTTTGCAGGTTGTCAGAGAAGTACAGGTAAGTGGTAATTTTTAGTTAAAGTTTAGTGCATTTAAAAGTTTAAAGAGTAAGAATTTGATGTATAGTGAAATAAAAAAACTACAGTTGCAAGCAGAATCACGTTTTGGTCAACGATGGACCGCATATACAATAGTGGTCCCATAAAATTATAAGGGGCTGGATGTGGTGGCTCACGCTTGTGATCCTAGCATGTGGGTGGCCAAGGTGGGAGGATCACTTGAGCTCAGGAGTTTGAGACCAGGCTGGGCAACTTAATGAGACCTCATCTCTACTGGGGGGGGAGAAAAGGAGATACATATATATATATATGTATGTATGTACCTATCACATAGTGACATAGTAGTAGCCATTGTAACATGGTAGCATAATGCATTACTCAAGTGTTTGTGGTGATGCTGGTGTAAACACATCTACTGCACTGACAGTCTTATAAAAGTATAGCACATACAATTCAGTATAGTATGTAATACAAATAAATGACTGTGTTACTCATTTACGTATTACTATGCTATACTTTTTAGCATTATCTTTCTACTTATTAAAAAAGTTAACTGTAAAATAGCCTCAGGTAGGTCCTTCAGGAGATATTCCACAGGAGGGCATTGTGATCATAGGAGATGACAGCTCCATGCATGTATTGATCCTGAAGACCATCCCGTGAGACAAGATGGGGAGGTGGAAAACAGTGATGCTGATGATCCCGTAGGCCTAGGCTGATGTGTGTGTGTTTGTGGCTTCATTTTTAAGAAAGAAGTTTAAAAAGTAAAAAAAAAAAAAAAAAAAAAAAAGGAAACATGCAAAAGCTTATAGAATAAGGGTATAAAGAAAAATGTTTTGGTACAGTTGTATGATGTGTTTGTGTTTTAGGCTTAGTTTAGAAGAGTAAAAAAGTTTAAAAAATTTAATGTTTATAAAGTTAAAAAAAGTCACAGTAAGCTCGAGTTAATTTATTATTGAGAGAAAAATTGTTTTTTACAAATTTAGTATAGTCTAAGTGTACAGTGTTTATAAAGTCTGTAGTACTACTGTACAGTAATGTCCTAGGCCTTCACATTTACCCACCATTCACTTACTCACCCAGAGCAACTTCCAGTCCTGCAAGCTCCATTTATGGTAAGTGCCCTATACAGGTGGACCATTTTAAATCTTTTTTTTTTTCTTTTTTTCTTTTTTGAGACGGAGTTTCATTCTTGTTGCCCAGGCTGGAGTGCAATGGTGCGATCTTGGCTCACTGCAACCTCCACCTCCACCTTCACCTCCACCTCCTGGGTTCAAGGGATTCTCCTGCCTCAGCCTCCTGAGTAGCTGGGATTACAGGTGTACACTGCCACGCCCGTCTAATTTTGTATTTTTAGTAGAGACAGGGTTTCACCATGTTAGTCAGGCTGATCTTGAACTCCTGACCTCAGTTGATCCACCCACCTTGACCTCACAAAATGCTGGGATTACAGGCGTGAGCCACTGCACCCAGCCTATTTTTAATCTTTTATTCCATATTTTTACTGTACCTTTTCTATGTTTAGATAGGTTTAGATACATAAATACTTGCCATTGTGCTACAGTTGTCTACAGTATTCAGTATAGTAACATGCTATACAGGTTTGTAGCCTCAGAGCAATACTGTACCATAGCAACACCATATAGCCTAGGTGTATAGCAGGCGGTACCATCTAGGTTTGTGTAAGTACACTTATGCCCTCACCGATGAAATCACCTAACATGCATTTTTTAGAGTGTATCCTTGTCATTATGACTGTATTCTCTTATTATTGTTTCTTATAGCTCCTATATTGCTGCCTGGCTCACATTGTTATATACACATACAGATTTTGTTTACCCTGTTAGTTGTATATTCCTGGGGCTCTGTACCTCACACAGAACAAATTCCCATTGCCCATTTAACTAGTTTTTTCACCTCTTTCCCTCTCTTTGTTAATGTCCTCATTCTCTTTTCAGTCAGTCAAGTTAGATTTGCTGTGTCTCACATTGCAGTTCAGCCTGACCTCATTTTTCATGTGGGCTGTTGCAGTAGCCTCTTTAATTGGCCCTTCTGCTTGCAGTGTTTTCCTTCTATTTTTTTACATTGTTTCTAGAAGTTTAAGATCTAGCATGATCTTAAAGTTTTAAATTGTCACATCCCTTTTCATAACTGTTCAAAAGGTTTCAGTGACTGACCAGTCCTTATTGAGTCTAGTCTAGACATAAGGTTATGGCAAAGCAATTGAGCTCATCACCTCCATGTTCCCTCCAAACCACGTTACTAGTAGTCTGTTAGACCTTGTGTGTTATCTCTCTGTATGCTGCTTCTGCTCATGAGCCATTATCTTCACCTGGAATATTCTTTTTCTCACTATACTGAAAATTCCGTTTAAATCTATTCTAGATTGCACATAAATGTTATCTCCTCGAGGGCTTCTTTCTCAATCCTCCCATCTTTAAGGCTCAGTTATATAGAAATGTACTGAATTACTCCTTGAAAGCAACAAATAGCTCTGTGTTACTTACTGCAGTACACATTTATTGAATGCCTGCTTTTGAGAGGTGGTCTATTGGGCACTCAAGGTAGAGATAAATTCCTTAATCACTGTCCTCAAGGTACTTACAGTTGAGAGAAGTTACCTAGAGAAACAGAAAAATATGATACTTACTGTAACTCTTCTTCCTGTGACTTAAGAAGATTTTTAAAAATGCAACTTTCGGCCGGGCACAGTGGCTCACGCCTGTAATCCCAGCACTTTGGGAGGCCGAGGCGGGTGGATCACGAGGTCAGGAGATCGAGACCATCCTGGCTAACACGGTGAAACCCGTCTCTACTGAAAAAAGACAAAAAATGAGCCAGGCGTGGTGACGGGCGCCTGTAGTCCCAGCTACTCGGGAGGCTGAGGCAGGAGAATGGCGGGAACCCGGGAGGTGGAGCTTGCAGTGAGCCGAGATTGCGCCACTGCACTCCAGCCTGGGCGACAGAACGAGACTCCGTCTCAAAGAAAAAAAAAAAAAATGCAACTTTCAGGAAAAGAAGTTTTGTTTTTCTGGAATTTACTAAGGCATCACCATTTTACTCCAAAAGGTATTACTTTTTTTTATCTTCCAAAGTCTATATGCAGTAAGTAATCATAATGAGGGAACTTCAGTTACTTTTGGGAGGAAAAAAAAATCTTTATTCACATACCATGAAATTTACCTTTTTTTTTTTTAAATACTTTTTTTTGCTTATTTGTAGACACAGTCTCATTCTGTCACCCAGGGTGGAGTCTAGTGGTGCAATCGTGGCTTACTGCAGCCTTGACCTCCCTGAGCTTGGTGATCCTCCCTCCTCAGCCTCCTGAGTAGCTGGGACTATTGGCATGCACCATCATGCCTGGCTAATTTTTGTGTTTTTTGTAGAGATGGAGTTTCATCATGTTGCCCAGTCTGGTCTTGAGCTCCTGGCCTCAATGATCTGCCCACCTCAGCCTCCCAAAGTGCTGGGATTACGGGTGTGAGCCACCATGCCTGGCCAAAATTCACCTTTTTAAGGTATACATACAGTTCAGTGATTTTTAGTATATTCACATAGTTGTGTAACTATCATTACTATCTAATTCCCGAACATTTAATCACTCCAAAAGGAAACCCAGTATCCACTAGAAGTCACTCCCCATTCTCCCCTCCTTGCAGCCTCTGGCAACCGCTATCTACTTTCTGTCTCTATGGGTTTGCCTATTCTGGCCATTTCATATAAATGGAATTCTGCAGTCGTAGCCTTGGTGACTGGCTTATTCACTTAGCATAATGTTTTCAAGGTTTATCCACGTTGTATGAATGAGGTATTAGTACTTCATTTATTTTTATAGGTGAATAATATTTCATTGTTTGGATATAACACACTTTGTTCATCTCTTCATCAGTTGATGGACATTGTGGTAGTTTCCACTTTTTGCCTCTTATGAATAATGATGCTCTGAACATCTGTAAACAGATTTTTGTGTGGACACATGTTTTCAATTTTCTTGGGTATAATGTATAGGAGTGGAATTGCTGGGTCATGGTAACTCTATGTTTAACATTTTAAAGAACACGAGTATTTTTCCAAAGTGGCTGTACAATTTTACAATCCCAGCAGCACAAGAGGGTACCGATTTCTTCACTTCCTTGCCAACTCTTATTAACTCATTTTCATTATATACATTGTTGTGGGTGAGAAGTTGTCTCTCATTGTGGTTTTTATTTGCATTTCTTTCATGACTAATGATGTCAAGCATCTTATATTAACCATCTTTAATACTGAATTAATGTTCCTATTGTGTATGGAGACTTTATTGGACCAGAAGAGAGATAGACTTACTTTATTAATGTTTTTCCTTGTTTTATTGGTCTGAGAATTTTTTTATTGGCAAGAACAAATAGTCATTAAATACTTACTTGTGTACATGATACTCTTAGCAATATGATTTAAGAACAACCTGTCTTGTTTCTCATTATTCATTGCTTTATTGATGCATTCAGAAAACTTGTTTTGATTCCCAAATTGTTGTCGATTTAGGCTTTGCTGGGAATTTCCCATTTGTTTGGTCAGCCTGAAGCACTAATAAACGCATGGTATTGTGCTCACTGTGCTCATAGCACCCACTGATCACAAAAGGAGATCAGGGCTAACAGCTGCATTCCAGTGTGGGCCAGGTGAAATATTTTTGTTCTCTAATGCACAAAGCAACCTTTATTTTGAGGTGGAGTCTTGTTGTTTTGCGCAGGCTGGAGTGCAGTGGCGCCATCTTGACTCACTGCAACCTCCACCTCCCAGCTTCAAGAGATTCTCCTGCCTCAGCCTCCTGAGTAGCTGGGACTACTGGTGTGTGCCACCATGCCTGGCTAATTTTTGTGTTTTTAGTAGAGACAGGGTTTCGCCATGTTGACTAGGCTGGTCTCAAACTCCTCACCTCAAGTGATCCGCCCATCTTGGCCTCCCAAAGGAGACCAAGGCTGTCTGGGTTACAAAGCAGCCTTAAACTTTGCCTGGAGTCTCCATGGGGAATTAGGTTGTAGTGTTGTATCTGGTCCCCTCCATACCCAAAGAGAACAGTCAGACCTAGAGCTCTAGACAGATGACTTGAAAGTTCCTCTGTCATATTTGCCTTTGCATAACAATACAAACTCAACTTTTCAGCTAAAATTTCTTGAAAGTGAGCCAGTAAAATATACACAGCCCTTGCTTCTAGGGTCCAGAAAGCTTCTGTTGAATGTGGCTCACGTGAGGTAGCCCTTAGTGTCATGGTTTAGAGCATCCTCTGGTGTCACTCATACATGTGCTGGAGAATTGACCTGTATTAGCTGTATAATCTTGGACAGATTTTTTTAACTTCTCCAAGCCTCCATTTCTTTATCTGTAAAGGGAGGATGAGAATGATTAGCTTTTAAGGTTGTTAGAAGAGTTAAATAATGTATTTATAATGCTTACTCTGGTTCCTGGAACTCCATAAATGCTAGATGATATTATTTATTATTATACTCCAAACCCACATTCTTTTCTACTTTAATATTTCTGTCACCCCCAACCCCCTCCCTCCCTGCACCGCACCCTGTTTTTGTGTGTTCCAAGTATTCTACATTACTTTGGTAACTAAAAAACGAAAGTTCAATAAGTGTTTGCTAGAAAAGGAAATAAATTTCCAATTGTTTTTTGAATAAAACTTCAAAGAACAATGTTTATAGGCAATGGGAAGTTAGTTATAGCCCCCATTTTTATTGGGGGAAAGCAATTGCAAAATTGGATTTTCTCCACAGTTAGAAAAGCAGAGTCATTGCCACTGCTCTTTTCTCAGTGTTCCATTAGTGGTAGAAAGGAAGCCCAGTGATTCCCCACCATGTGTCTGTCTGAGGCACAGCAACTGGTTCAGGATTTAAAGTAACTTCTTGACATGTGCCTTTCTAGGCTTCTCTTTTGTTGTTTGAATTTGAAAGGCTTGAGGATGACAAGAGGCTCTTTCCTATTTTTCTTCTTCTCTAAAATTCTGGTGTTAGCATGTTAGACCTCTCTTTTCCCCCTTTTTTACCTTTAGTGTGTCTCTAACCTTGGACATTCACACAGACATTGTTTAGCTCTAGTGCTTTGGGGTGAAAGCCAAAGATTTTTGTTTTTTCCTGTCCTGTGTGAATGTTGCTTTATATAATAGGTCTATTTCTTTTAAGTGTGCAAAATAAATTTTTGTAAATTGAGCTATACTTAAGATATTGTTAAAGAACCATGAAGTGGCGCTTTGTGTAATTTGCTCTGTAAAAATCTTAATCTGACTATGCCTGGATTTCTTACAAGTTTTTCTGCATTTTAACTACAACCTGTTCATCATAATCTAATAGATAGTGGTTTAAGAGCACAGAATCTGTAGTCAGACTGCCTGGGTACAAATCCAGGCTCTTCCATTTAGCTACCAGCTTTATGCTTGGTTGTAGACCCTGTTAAGTGGAATAACAGTAGTTACTTTAAAGGGTTATTGAGAAAATATAGAGCATTAATACATAAAAAGTGTTTAGAATCATGCATGGCACCTTACAGGTATTTCTTAAATGTTTGGGGCTATCATTACCTAGCATGGGATTTGTTTAGGACATTGTGCTAGATAATAGAGATCCAAGGAGGGTCTGTAGCAGGTTGCTGTCCACAAGAGGCTTGTGATACTTTGGAGGAAGTTAGAGATTAAAGACGAAAACTACATGTGGTCACCTGCGCTCAGCATCAAATGACTGATAGAGACAAATGCTGTAAGAGTTACAAAGAAGGAGTGGGTCATCAGGAAAGCTTCACAGAGGAAGTAACTGAGCTCTGCTTGAGCCACCAATGAAGAATTCTAGGAAAGGAAATGGCCTGAGGAGAGAGAAGGGAAGTAGCAAGGTACATTTGGCCTGGTATGTAGGGTTAGAGGTTGTAGGAGTTCTTTCTAGATAATTTCTACAAGTAACCTAGGAACAGAGTTTGGTTAAATCTTATAAGGACATTGGAAGCCTTACTCTTTTTAAGTGGGGATCATCCCACACACCTTAAATGCTGCCTTGCCCAGTTCTCCTCTTGCACCAGGAGTGAGGAAGGAGTGAATTGGGTGGGGGGGAAGGACGGCCACCTGGGTTCACACCCCCTTCCTCTGCTATATCTTTGCAGTATGACTTCTCTTTGGAAAAGAAAACCATTGAGTGGGCTGAAGAGATTAAGAAAATCGAAGAAGCCGAGCGGGAAGCAGAGTGCAAAATTGCGGAAGCAGAAGCTAAAGTGAATTCTAAGAGTGGCCCAGAGGGCGATAGCAAAATGAGCTTCTCCAAGACTCACAGTACAGCCACAATGCCACCTCCTATTAACCCCATCCTCGCCAGCTTGCAGCACAACAGCATCCTCACACCAACTCGGGTCAGCAGTAGTGCCACGAAACAGAAAGTTCTCAGCCCACCTCACATAAAGGCGGATTTCAATCTTGCTGACTTTGAGTGTGAAGAAGACCCATTTGATAATCTGGAGTTAAAAACTATTGATGAGAAGGAAGAGCTGAGAAATATTCTGGTAGGAACCACTGGACCCATTATGGCTCAGTTATTGGACAATAACTTGCCCAGGGGAGGCTCTGGGTCCGTGTTACAGGATGAGGAGGTCCTGGCATCCTTGGAACGGGCGACCCTAGATTTCAAGCCTCTTCATAAACCCAATGGCTTTATAACCTTACCACAGTTGGGCAACTGTGAAAAGATGTCACTGTCTTCCAAAGTGTCCCTCCCCCCTATACCTGCAGTAAGCAATATCAAATCCCTGTCTTTCCCCAAACTTGACTCTGATGACAGCAATCAGAAGACAGCCAAGCTGGCGAGCACTTTCCATAGCACATCCTGCCTCCGCAATGGCACGTTCCAGAATTCCCTAAAGCCTTCCACCCAAAGCAGTGCCAGTGAGCTCAATGGGCATCACACTCTTGGGCTTTCAGCTTTGAACTTGGACAGTGGCACAGAGATGCCAGCCCTGACATCCTCCCAGATGCCTTCCCTCTCTGTTTTGTCTGTGTGCACAGACGAATCATCACCTCCAAATACTGGTCCCACGGTAAGTCTTTTAAATCCCCCGCCAACTCCCATATTTTCCTGAGGACAGGGATTATGTTTTTTCTTGATGTTTGGTTTTTTCCGAGACAGGGTCTCATTCTGTTGCCCAGGCTGGAATACAGTGGTGTGATCGTACCTTACTGTAGCCTCGACCTCCCAGGCACAAGCGATCGTTCCATCTCATCACCCTCCTGAGTAGCTGGGACAATAGGCACGTGCCACCACGCCCAACTTTTTTGTATTTTTTGTAGAGATGGGGTTTCGACATGTTGCCCAGGCTGGTCTCGAACTCGAACTCCTGACTTCAAGTTATCTGCCTGCCTTGGCCTCCCAAAGTATTGGGATTATAGGCATGAGCCACCAAGCCTGGCAGTACAGAACAACACATTATTGTATTCTAGAATAGAAATCATAGAAGTCAAGAACCTTTTGCTACACCAGCTTACAGATTTCTTTCTTTTTTCTTTTTTTTTGAAACAGAGTCTTGCTCTGTCGCCCAGGCTGGAGTGCAGTGGCACCATCTCGGCTCACTGCAACCTCTACCTCTCAGGTTCAAGCAATTCTCCTGCCTCAGCCTCCCAAGTGGCTGGGACTACAGGCATATGCCACCACACCCAGCTAATTTTTGTGTTTTTAGTAGAGACAGGGTTTTACCATGTTGCCCAGGCTGGTCTTGAACTCCGAACCTTAGTTGATCCACCTGCCTCCACCTCCCAAATTCCTGGGATTGTAGGTGTGAGCCACTGTGCCCGGCCAGGTTACAGATTTTTTTTAAATGTAAAAGCACATCAAGAGACTACTTAGAGCCAAAAAGGAGCCTGAGTGTATTGGTGGGATATCTGTCAGAGACCATAACAAGCCTGCTATTAGCTGGTAAAAAGATATGAAATTTTGGCCTGCTTTACAAGTCCCAGTAATAGCATTCTTGGTCAATGATAGTCTGTGGGAATGCTGCTTTTGTCAGAGAGCTCATAGCTGCTTGTAAACTTCCATACACTTTGGCCCAGGTAAACTTGATAGAGTGCCGAACACCATTATTATCTTCTTGGAGTGGGCTTCATTCTAATTCCTCTTGGTCAGTTGTTGGACTCTGGTCAGCACTCTACTTCTTCCTTTTCATGGTACTTTGTATGCTTTAGAGAAATTAAAAGCTCCCTGGAAAAGATCAGGGGTCCTTGGCCAACACTTCCTTCCTCTCATTTAAAGTTAGATTAACCATTTAGAGATCAAAGCCAATAAACTAACAGCAGAGATCTTTCTCAAACTAGAACACTTGTCATTCTTTGACCAGCCTGAGTGTGGGAGTTTCTTTCTGGCCTATTCATCTCAGGATGGGAAGAGGCCTGCTTCTTGTTGGCTTGAGAATTTGCTGCCTTCCACCTGCAGGTATAAACAGAGCTGGAGTGTTTCTCTTTTTTTTTTGAGACGGATTCTAATTCTGTCGCATAGGCTGGAGTGCAGTGTTACGATCTCGACTCATTGCAACCTCCGCCTCCCGGGTTCAAGCGATTCTCCCACCTCAGCCTCCTGAGTAGCTGGGATTACAGGCGCATGCCACCATGCCCAGTAAATTTTTGTATTTTTAGTAGAGACAGGTTTCACCATATTGGCCAGGCTGGTTTCGAACTCCTGACCTCCAAGTGATGCACCTGCCTCAGCCTCCCAAAAATATTGGGATTACGGGTGTGAACCACCGTGCCTGATGAGTTCTGGGGTTTTTCTTTTTCTTCCTCTTTTTCTTTTTCTTTCTCTTTCTTTTCTTTTCTTTCTTTTTTTTTTTTTTTTTGAGACAGAGTCTTGCTCTGTTGCCAGGCTGGAGTGCAATGGCACAATCTCAGCTCACTGCAACCTCTGCCTCCCAGGTTCAAGCGATTCTCCTGCCTCAGTCTCCTGAGTAGCTGGGACCACAGGTGTGCAACACCATGCCCAGCTAATTTTTGTATTTTTAGTAGAGATGGGGTTTCACCATATTGGCCAGGATGGTCTCTATCTCTTGACCTCATGATCCACTCGCCTCGGCTTCCCAAAGTCCTGGGATTACAGGCGTGAGCCACCATGCCTGGCCCATTTATACTTCTTTAGTTATTTTTAAATGTACTATTAAATATTATTTATTTAATAATATTTATTTATTTATTATTATAAATAAACTCCAGCTACTGCTGGAGTGCAGTAGCGTGATCTCGGCTCACTGCAACCTCCACCTCCCAGGTTTAGGCGATTCTTCTGCCTCTTGCAGCCTGCCGAGTAGCTGGGATTACAGGCATATGCTTTCATGCTCGGCTAATTTTTGTATTTTTAGCAGAGATAGGGTTTCACCATGTTGGCCAGGCTGGTCTCGAATTCCTGTACTCAAGTGATCCACCCGCCTCAGCCTCCCAAAGTGCTGGGATTACAGGTGTGAGCCACAGTGGCTGGCCAATTAAATATTATTGACTATAATCACCCTGTTGTCTTATCAAATAGTAGATCTTATTCTATTTTTTTTTTTTTTTTTTTTTTTTTTAATGGAATCTCGCTCTGTCACCCAGGCTGGAGTGCAGTGGCATGATTTTGGCTCACTGCAACCTCTGCCTCCTGGGTTCAAGCAGTTCTCTGCCTCAACCTCCAGAGCAGCAAGGATTACAGGTGTCTGCCATCATGCACAGCTAATTTTTGTATTTTTAGTAGAGACAGGGTTTCACCATCTTGGCCAGGCTGGTCTTGAACTTCTGACCTCGTGATCCACCTGCCTCAGCCTCCCAAATGCTGGGATTATAGGCGTGAGTCACCGTGCACAGCCATTCTTTCTATTTTTTTTGTACCTATTAACCACCAGCCCCCCACTACCCTTCCCAGCCTCTGTGGTAACCATCATTCTAGTATCTATGTCCATGAGTTCAATTGCTCTGAGTTTTAGATTGCACACATAAGTGAGAACGTGTGATGTTTGTCTTTCAGTTCCTGGCTTATTTCACTTAACATAATGATCTCCAGTTCCATCCATGTTGTTGCAAATGACAGGATCTCATTCTTTTTCATGGCTGAATGGGTACTCCACTGTGTATGAGCACCACATTTTTTTTTTTATCCATTTATCTTTTTTTTTTTTTTTGGAGACAGAGTTTTGCTCTTGTTGTCTAGACTGGAGTGCAATGGCATGGTCTTGGCTTACTGCAATCTCTGCCTCCCGGGTTCAAGTGATTCTCCTGCCTCAGCCTCCCAAGTAGCTGGGATTACAGGCATGTGCCACCACACCCGGCTAATTGTTGTATTTTTAGTACAGACGAGTTTTCATCATATTGGTCAGGCTGGTCTCAAACTGCTGACCTCAGGTGATCCATCTGCCTCAGCCTCCCAAAGTGCTGGGATTAAAGGTGTGAGCCACTGCATCTGGCCTATCCATTCATCTCTTGATGGACACTTAGGTTGCTTCCAAATCTTGGCTGTTGTGAACAGTGCTCCAACAAACATGGGAGTGCAGATCTTGTTTATGTTTTACTTTCTGGGACATATCCTTAACTTACAACT